CTGAGGTTATCATTCTTTAGAGCAGAGTTGCACTCTAGTTTTAAAAAAATTAATCCTTTATTTATTTGGTACAGGGGGATCGAACCAGACAGGCACTTAGACTACTAAGCTATCTCCTCAGCCCTAGCACTCCTTTGCATACGAACACATTTTCTTTGTCTGTTCATCTGCTGATGGACATATAGGCCACTTCCAAGATTTAGCTATTAAGAATCACGCTGTCATAAACATGCAGGTCTCCCTGTAAGATGGCATCTTTAACTCTTTCAGGAAGATAACTAAAAGGCAAGTAGCTGGGTCAAACAGAATTTCTAGTTTCAGGGTTCTTTTTGAAGAATCACCAAATAGATTTCCATAGGGGCTATACTTGTTTATGCTCCCAGTAACAGCAGAGAAGGGCTCCTTTTTCTCAGTCTCCCCAGTGTTTGTTATAAATTGATTTCTTAATGAGTCATTCTTTCTGGGGTAAGAGGGACTCTCAATATTGTTTTCATTTGCATCTATCTAACAGCCAATAACGCTGAGCACTTCATATATTTATCAGCATTCTCTAAAGTATCTATTCATGTCACTTGCCCATTTTTTGATTGGGTCTTTTATTTTTGAGGGTTTAAATTTTTATTTTATTTTATTTTGACACAGGGTTTTGCCATGCAGTTCAGACTCGGCTTAAACTAACAAGGATCCTCCTGCCTCAGCCTCCTGAGTGCTGAGATTACTGGTGTACACCACCACACCTAGAAAACTTTTTAGTTCTTTCTATATTCCAGATATTAGTCCCCTGAGATATAGCTGGAAAAATTTTTTTGCCATTCTGTACATTTTCTTTTTTCTTTCTTCTTGGTTTTTTGTTTCTGTACCTCCTGATACAATGTCTCACTATGTATTCCAGGTTGGCCTTAAACTCACTATTCAGCCCAGATGGACCTCAAACTCACAGCTATCCTCCTGTCTTTGTTGGGTGCCTCCTTTGCTATGTGAAAGCTCTTTAAGTTGACATGATTTTGGGCCGGGGAGATGGCTCAGTAGAATAAGCACTTGCCTGGCAAGCGCAAGGCCCTGAGTTCAATCCCCAGTACTGAAGGAAAAAAAAAAAAAGACATGATCTCACCTGTTGATTCTCCCAACTATTTCCTATGTGAGCAGGGATCTGTCCAAAGTCCTTGCCTCCAGCTACAATTTCAAAAGTTTTCCTCTTTGTTCCAGTTGAACAGCTTTAATTTTAACATTTAATTACATGATTATTTTAATTTACTATATGATAAAAGATATGGGGCTAAGTTCAAACTGAATAGCCAGTTTTCCCAACATCATTTATTAAAGAGGCTATCTTTCCTGAAATGTTTTTGCCCCCTGTCAACGATAGTTTAATACACATGGAGTTGTTCCTGCATCCTCTACTGTTCCATTCATCCCTACATTTATTTTTGTGCCAGTATCATGCTGTTTTTATCACAGTAGCTTTGTGATGTAACTTCAGGGCCACAACTGTGGTGCTTTCCACTTTGGTCTTTTACCCAGGACTGCTTTCACCTTTCTGAAGTCTTTTCTAGTTCCATTTGAACTTTGGAGGGTGTTTTCTTCTTGGTTTTTTGTTTCTGTACCTCCTGATACAATGTTTCACTATCTCTCTATGTATTCCAGGTTGGCCTTAAACTCACTATTCAGCCCAGACGGACCTCAAATTCACAGCTATCCGCCTGTCTCAGCTTCCCTACTGCTAAGATTTTGTGTCCACCATTACACCTGGCTCCACACTGAGTTTAGAGTTTTTCTCTCCAGTCAAGAACGCTGTTGGAATTTTGACTGGGATTGCAGTTGCCTTGTTTTGTTTTTGGTGTTTTTTTGGTTTGGTTTGGCCTGTCTCAGCTTCCCTACTGCTAAGATTTTGTGTCCACCATTACACCTGGCTCCACACTGAGTTTAGAGTTTTTCTCTCCAGTCAAGAACGCTGTTGGAATTTTGACTGGGATTGCAGTTGCTTTGTTTTGTTTTTGGTGTTTTTTTGGTTTGGCTTGGTTTTTTACTTTTTTTTTTTTTTTTTAATTGCTTTTTAGGGGAGGCTTATTTTTTGTTTTTGGTGCCAAGGACCAAACCCGGGGTTTTCAGCTTGCTAGGCAAGTATTCTACCACTGAGCCAAATCCCCAGGCCCTTGACTGGGATCGCATTAAATCTGCATGCCATTTTTGCTAATTTGGCCATTCTGACATTGGTTCTACCTACAGAAACAATCTCATCTTTCCCTTTCCTTTTTTTTTTTTTTTTTTTTTTGAGACAGGGTACCACTATGTAGCCCAGGCTGGCCTTGAACTCAACAATCCTCCTGCCTCAGTCTCTGAAGTGCTGGCATTCCAGGTGTGCACCATGACACCCAGCTTTATCGCTTTCATTATAGAGGTCTTTCACTTCCATGGCTACAGTAACGCTAGGCTTTGTGTTTTGTTTTGAGGGGTTTTTTTCGCAGTTACTGTGGATGTACTGTTTTTCTAACTTCTCTTGGGGGGCGCTCACTGTTGGTGCATAGGAACCCTATTATTATTGTGTGTAGAGTTTCACCCTGCACCCTTCACTTTCAAACATGAACCTCTGAGCAAAGCAAAGCATCACACTGAGTTGATCCCCAAGACTACAGCAGTAACTGCTCACATTTGAGCAGTGCTACAGCAGCATCCAAGCCTCCGCGCTTTCACAGACCATTACCTTCGCAAGCACACGGGCACTCAGGGGTATTATTTACATCACTGTACAGCAGGAAAGAGGGCTCAGAGGGCTTATGCCACAGGTCCAAGGTCACATACTGGGCCCGCGACGGAGCCAGAACTTAAAGCCACAAGACTTTCAGGTACACCTGCGAGTTCTCCCCACTATTCACACCACCTTCTCCAGGGAGGTGCCAGGAGGATGCGTCTGGGGCAGGGAGCTGGGCAGCAAGGGCCTTCACATACCGGTCGGTTCTCATACTCCAGGCAGGGGCAGGTGATGGTGCAGCCATCCAGGAGGATCCGGCCCTTGGGTGGGGTCACTTTCCGACCCCCCTGAAGCTTATAATACAGCAGGGTGTTCTGCTGAAGGATGAACCATCGTGCCTTCCAATTGTGAACAATGTGACCCTGTGGACAGACAGGACAGCGCCATGGTGAGGCAGTGAAGGAGGAGATACTGTGTTTAGGCAAAGGTCTCCCGTTGCCCAGGCAACCAACATGCACCATGGAAACAACTGTCCAATGACAGCAAATATTTTTGTCTGGATCTCTCTTGGTCATCTCTTTTGAGTATGCAAGCAAAAGCCTTCAGCACTGATCTTCTAGTTCCCACTGGCATTTTTTCATGGGGTTTTTTTTTTTGTTTTTTTGTTTGTTTGTTTTTTAAATCTCTTTCCTTTCTTCTTTTTCCTTTTTTGTAGTGATAGGGGTAGGGAGCAAATGCAGAACTTTGCACATGGTAGGCCAGCACTCTCCCATGGCGCTGCACCCCACTCCAATCACGGGCCATAAATCTTAAAAGAAACTGCAAAGTGCGTGCACACACACACACACACACACACACACGCTGGTGGACACCTGTAATCCTATCAGTCTGGAAGGTGAAGCAGGAGGTTTGCAAGTTACAGCCCAACTCTGGCAACTTAGGCCCTGGGTTCAATCCTCAATACCACCAAAAAAATAACTCACCTGTAATCTTGCTACAGTGCTAGGAGGCAGCTATTGTTAATACTGTGCATATCTCTCTACTCTTGTTTCAGTTCTTACTTTTTTTATTTTCCAATTGGGACCATACCATATACAGTTTTATTTTCTAGTTTTGTTTTGTTTATCCTTGCTGAGCATTTTCTCAAACCATTTACATTTCTTTAGAAGATATTCTATAATGGCCACTATGTGAATACATAATTAACTTGCAAGTCGATGCCTCCCTGAGTCTATGGTGCTAAGGGCCCACCAGTTACTTTGCCAGCTATGGCAGGCACAAAAGACAGAGTAGTTTTGGAGGTTCTCAGGTGAGACATGGAGCCAACAGACTGGAGAGTCAGGTGCAGGCAGAGCCCCATTTCTAGAACAGACTGATGCGTGGAGGACGTCTGCAGAGCATCAGGAAGGAAAGGATGAGCCACACACAGAACAAACCTTCTTGACAGGGTCTGCGGCAGAGTGCAATTTGGAACAGTTATCACCCAGACAAATGTGCTCCACGTGAGTCACAGAGCATCTGCTTAGTTCATCCTTCCCCTCACCTAGCGGGTGTTCCTAGCAAAGACTCCTTGTTCTCACAGCTGTGGTGCTGTGATCCCACTCCATGTCCAGCAGGCACTTCGAGCCGTCAGGGAGCCTCAAAGTATGGCCAAATCACCCGCACTAGTTATTCGTGCATATAGCCGTGCTTCGTGGGCATGGATCTAAGCTAACCAGAATGTACAGAGGCAACCAAATGAAACTCAGCAAGGCTCATCTGACAAGTACGCTCTCTGCTTCCCCCCAGCTTGCAGTCCACTTTGCAGCCTGGGTAGAGCATGCCACAGCTCTCCACACAGCCCAGTCCCAGCTCCCAGTCCCCAGCCAGGTACCTGAGGGCAGCACTTGCAGGGCTGCCTGGGGTGCCTGCCGCTGAAGAGCTCAGGGCAGTAAGTTACTGACAAACAAGGCTGCAACAGATGTGGGGAGGATGCAGCTGAAGATGGCCATACGAGGGCTGGCACAAGGCAGAGACGAGACGGCGAGACAATCATAAACCTTACAACACAGGTGTGAGGGGCTGAATCGTGGGCCCCACACCCCACCCCACCCCACCGAAATGCACACATTGAAGCCCTAACCCCAGTACTGCAGAATGGGATCATCTGGAGCTCGAGTCTTTAAGGAAGTTAGTAAGTTAAATGGGCCATCAGGTTGGATCCTACTCAAATCTTGTGTCCTTAGAGAAAGAGATAAGGACACACAGAGTAGTGCCGGAGATGGGGACATAGAGGGATAAGACCGAATGCAGCAGACATAGCGAGAAGGGAGCCACCTGCAGCTGGGGAAGTAAACCCCAGAGGAGGGCTGGTGAGATGGCTCAGTGGTCTAAAGCACCTACTTAGAACAAGCTTAGCTAAAGCACAGGGACC